CAGCGCCAACCCTTGGGGGCTGCTATGTTTGTTTTCATCAGTACCTCGCGTTGTAACATGGGCGCCGCCATGTTTGTTTGTTTCTCTCGTGACTGTTCGGTAACTCTCGGCGGCACTCGGCTCTGGTAACGAAAGCCCGGCGTCTGCTGCCATCCGCCTCGTGGCATCAATCACACGAGCTCTGTGAGATTCCCATCGATCTTCCTGCTTAATCAAGTGCTCAGGAGGCGACATTGATCCATCCAGAGCCCCACGAAACCTTTGACTTTGGTCCTTAGATTCGGACTTTATTTTTCCTTGGGTCTTCTTCCACATCGCGTTGGTTGCAGGACGAAAAATAAGTAAATGCGGCTATCCAGTTCACTTCTGACACCAGTGTAGCAGACTGAAGAAGGTCAGGAAGCGTTTAGCAGTCAAAACTTGTCTTTTATTGAACTTTTGCACGTTGCAGACAGAGTGATCCTTTTAGCTCTTCACATAAAACAACTCTCTCTCTTGTGAACCAAAGAAAAACCCCAGATACCTGTCAATCTCTCGAAAACCCGCCCCCTCCCTCTCAAGTGCGCAGACTCCTTTTTCCCATAATCCAGCCCCTTAAAGCCCTACATTACCCAACATCAATACACGCCAAACTACAACAACCAGGAACTGTATTTAAACCTTTTCTAGCATGCTACACTATGTATGTGAAGTCAAAAGTCATGTTTATTAGACCAAGAATATTTTGATAGTTTTTCCTACAGTCTAATAGTTTTTATTCTGGAGAAAGTCTTGGGCTGTTTATTTTAGTCTGGCTGGAGTAAAAGCAGTTTATATAGACCTAATAAGCTTGTCAATATAATTAACCCCCTATAAGAATTTATTTGTCAAACAAACATTTGTCATGACTTGTCACTCAAAAGCATCTTGCTATGGCTACTTCATTTATAATGTAGCCAAATTAGGTTTCTTGAAAGTTTTCTTGCTGTATAAGCTTTTTATTTTGTTATTCTTTTAACGTTTGTTGAATATACAGAATTATATTTTTAATACACCCTTTTAGTTAATGAGCTGTTCATCTTCTGTAATTCTGACCATCTTTTTGTAAAAACAGTGATATTTCTATTGCATCCACTCCCACATTAAAAAATACTATAGTAATGTATACTGTAGTGCTTTTGAACCATGTTATAAAATAGCCTATTTAAATTTTATATTTCTGGTATCACAACAACTATAAACACAACACAATACTGAATAAACATGTTCAAAAATGCTATAATATTTACTATAAATCACCATAGTATTTTTTCATGAGGTCATTCGTCTGCGATAAAAAACGCGAACGAGATCTCCGCCAATGGTGACGTTTCCAGGTGGCTTAACAGCGAGATTCGGCAGGTGTCCGACTTCTGATGTAATTTTTGAGCCCTCCTCTTACTGCGCACGCCTGCTCTCGTTTACAATGCAGTCAAGGCGAGGCGCACCTCAAACGAGCCTAATGGTTTCTCTCCGGTGTGGATCATCATGTGTTCATTAAGGGACGATGATTTCCTGAAACTCTTCCCACACTTAGGGCATGTGAATGGTTTCTCTCCAGTGTGGATCATCATGTGTTGATTAAGGGATGATGATTGGATGAAACTCTTCCCACACTGAGTACATTTGAATGGTTTCTCTCCAGTGTGGATCATGATGTGTTGATTAAGGTGTGATGATTGGCTGAAACTCTTCCCACACTGAGTGCATTTGAATGGTTTCTCTCCAGTGTGGATCATCATGTGTAGATTAAGATTTGATGATTGGCGAAAACTTTTCCCACACTGAGTGCATGTGAATGGTTTTTCTCCAGTGTGGATCCTCATGTGTCTGTAAAGCGATGATAAGATGCTGAAACTCTTTCTACACTGAGAGCATGTGAATGGTTTCTCTCCAGTGTGGATCATCATGTGTCGAATAAGGTGTGATAATCGGCTGAAACTCTTCCCACACTGATTGCATGTGAATGGTTTCTCTCCAGTGTGGATCATCATGTGTCGATTAAGGTGTGATAATCGGCTGAAACTCTTCCCACACTGAGTGCATGTGAATGGTTTCTCTCCAGTGTGGATCCTCATGTGTTTATAAAGGGATGATGATTGGTGAAAACTCTTCCCACACTGAGTGCACGTTATTGGTTTCTCTCCAGTGTGGATCCTCATGTGAGATTAAAGTTTGATGATTGGCTGAAACTCTTCCCACACTGAGTGCATGTGAATGGTTTCTCTCCAGTGTGGATCCTCATGTGTTTATAAAGGGATGATGATTGGCGGAAACTCTTCCCACACTGAGTGCACGTTATTGGTTTCTCTCCAGTGTGGATCCTTATGTGTTGATTAAGGTGTGATGAGCGGTTGAAACTCTTCCCACACTGAGTGCAAGTAAATGGTTTCTCTCCAGTGTGGGTCCTCATGTGTTTATTAAGTGATGATGCTTGGCGGAAACTCTTCCCACACTGAGTGCACGTAAATGGTTTCTCTCCAGTGTGGATCCTCATGTGTAGATTAAAGTTTGATGATTGGCTGAAACTCTTCCCACACTGAGTGCAAGTAAATGGTTTCTCTCCAGTGTGGGTCCTCATGTGTTTAGAAAGGGATGATGATTGGCGAAAACTCTTCCCACACAGAGTGCACGTTATTGGTTTCTCTCCAGTGTGGATCCTTATGTGTTGATCAAGGTTTGATGAGCGGTTGAAACTCTTCCCACACTGAGTGCAAGAAAATGGTTTCTCTCCAGTGTGGATCCTCATGTGGTGATCAAGGTTTGATGAGCGGTTGAAACTCTTCCCACACTGAGTGCAAGTAAATGGTTTCTCTCCAGTGTGGATCCTCATGTGTTGTTTAAGGTATGATGAGCAGTTAAAACTTATTCCACACTGAGTGCATGTGAATGGTTTCCTCCAGTGTGGATCCTCATGTGTTTATTAAGTGATGATGCTTGGCGGAAACTCTTCCCACACTGAGTGCACATGAATGGTTTCTCTCCAGTGTGGATTATCATGTGAATCTTAAGTTTGCTTTTGCTTGCCAAAATCTTTCCACACTGAGTGCAGGTGAAACAATTCTTGTCTCTCCTTTTCAAAATACCATCAGTCTGTAAATGAGTTTTTTCCTCAATTTTGACATGATGTTCCTCCTCTTTCCTCTCATTCTCTTCAATTAGGTCTGAAATAAATAAATAACAGATTAATTTTCATTAAGTCTAAAAATCTCTCATCAAAAGCTGAAAAGTAAAAAGACACTGGAAACATTGGCTACACACACTTATTTTGATGCATGTTAAATGTAAAATAAAATCAGATCATATTTTGTTCAGTCATTAACCTGTACACATTTAAGCAGATTAAATTCATCTTTATTTATCTACAGCTTTTACAATGTAAATTGTGTCATAGTCGCCTAACATAGAAGTCATTGTAAACTGAAATGCTGTCAGTCTAGTTTTCAGAGTTTCTTACATAATTGATCATAAAAGTAATTTTGGTCACATTGATAAGACACAGATTTGAAAGGTGTAAATGGTGTGACGACCCCGGTATTCTACTTTGGATGTGGAAGATCCTGATTAGGTGCCATGGTTGCTCCCCAATTGGTTCAAAGCATATAAATGCGAGAGTGAGCTAGCTTCTGCAGGATAGTGTGGCTACTGGCCGTCTTCGCATCAAGACCATCTCTTTATTTTGGCAATCTTATGGTTTTGTTTGGCATTATTTATATGTGTAGTTAAAGTTAGTTATTTTCTTTATTTTCCCCTAGACATTTGTTTGTTTCTTGATTTGTTGTTTTATTAGTTGTGTATAATAAATAAGTTGCATATATAATTTTTTTGTTGTCTGAGCTCTTTTATGTTGCAACTCGAACGAGGGGGTCGTAACAATGGCCTATTTTTATTTGTATATATTCATAATTACAACAAAATGTTTCTCTAAAATTTGTTTAGCAGACAGGGAATACTATGGATAGAATACTATGGATACGATACTGTGGATAGAATGAAAGAACCGACAGGGGAAAGCAAAGAAGGAGGTGTTTGTTTCTTTATTAACAACTCATGGTTGAGAAACATACATCCAGTTAGATCATTTTGTTCTCCTGATCTGGAATACCTTATGCTTCGGTGCCGACCACACTGGGCACCAAGAGAGTTCACAGCTGTTATAAATACAGCTGTCTACATCCACCCTCAAGCCAACACAAAGCAGGCGCTAAGGGAACTGAATGGGAGCATAAGCGAGCAGGAAACCACACACCCAGTGGCAGCGTTTATTGTTACAGGGGACTTTAACAACGCCAATCTCAGGAAAATCGCTCCAAAATACTATCACCATATCACCACAAACATGCGTGGTGACCGTATTTTGGACCACTGCTATTCTCCGTTCCGGGACGCCAACAAATTCCTCCCCCGCCCACCGATTGGCATATCAGATGACTCTTTTGTTCTGCTCTTGCCTGCTTACAGGCAGAAACTGAAACGGGAACCACCCACCCTCAAGACGTTTCAAAGCTGGACGGACCAATCGGATTCCATACTTCAAGAATGTTTTGATCTTGTGGACTGGGAGATGTTACGGACAGCTTCTGATGACGACATAAAGGGCCTACTCACACTATGCCATCCGTACTGTGCCCAGGCCCGTTTCCTGGATCGTTTGAGAAGTGTGAGTTTCCCGGATCGTTGAGAAGACCCTTAGCTGAATCGGGCTCAAGCACGGTTCACTTGGCTGGCCCTAGCCCGGTTGGAAGAGAAGGGCCTGAGCGCGGTTCACTTGGCCGGTACGTTTGTAGTGTGAGTGCAAAACGTCCCAAAACCCGAAACTGAAAGAGAGACGTGACTTTAAGGGATTGTTTCATATGGATTTATTAATCATTCTTACTGTTCAGTGAACGCAAACTGCCGTAATTTATTAAAGACGCAGACATCTCACTGCACGACAGTTGCGCGCCTTCAGCAAACCTCTCATTCCTGCAGCACGAGAGCTTTATGATTGTTTATAAGCGCCTAAAGTGGCGGATCTGTTCGGCGAAATATCTGACTGCGTGTAAATGCATCCCTAAGGCATGTTTGGTGAAATATTTGACTGCATGTCACTGCATATCAGACGACTGAAACGATATAACTAGAGAAATCTCCACTGTGCTGCTGAGTGAGTGAGAGCGCTTCTCACTGAACAGCGCAGCAGCGATGACGTAAGCGTGCCGAGGCCCATTTGTGGTGTGAGTGCAGGCTGTCGGGGGAGACGGGAGGGGGGACAAGCGCGGTTTGGCCCAGTTCGAGGCAACTGTACCTAGTGTGAGTACGACCTAAAATTTACTCAAGACACTGTTACATGCTTCATCAGAAAGTGTATAGAAGACACGGTCCCAACAAAAACTGTCCATATCTAAACTGTCTAAAAATCTGTCTCTAACCCAAAACCATAGATTAATGGCGAAGTTCGAACAGCCCTATTAGTGTGAACCTCCGCCTATAAATCCAGAAATGCTGAGGAACAAAAACAAGCAAACTACAACCTCAGGTAAACTATCAAAACAGCAAAACATCAATACAGAGGTACAAGGTAGAGGGGAGGAGTATGTGGCAGGGACTTAATTACATCACAGACTTTAAAAGTAACAAACCCCTCACTGTGAACATTTCTGCGTCTCTCCCGGACGAGCTCAACTCGTTCTACACTTGCTTTAAAGCCCAGGACAGCACCCACACACTGTGCGCTCCGCGGCTAATACCGAAACCGTCAGCACACTCTATTTCTGTAGTGGACGTAACGAGATCTTTTCGGAGCATCCTGAAAGCTATGGCCCAGACCTCTCCCTCTCTCGGCCTGTGGTTCCCACATGCTTTAAGACAGCTACTATTGTGCCCATACTGAAATAATCTAAAACCACATGCTTAAATGACTGGCGTCCAGTTGCTCTGACACCCATCTTCAGCAAGTGCTTTGAGAAGCTGATTAAAAAGCACATCTGCTCTGTACTGCCTGCTCACACAGACCCTCTGCAATTTGCTTACAGGAATAATCGCTCCACTGATGTTGCAATTGCTTTCACCTTGCACACTGCTCTGTCTCACCTGGAAAACAAAAACACATATGTGAGAATGCTGTTTGTGGACTACAGCTCAGTATTCAACAATATAGTGCCTGCCAAACTAGTGGTGAAGCTCCAAGCTCTGGGTCTACACAGCTCTATGTGCATCTAGATCCTGGACTTCCTATCAAGCAGACGCCAGGTGGTCAGAATGAACAACACGACCTGATCCACACTGATGATCCACAGAGCTGTGTTCTTAGTCAACTCCTGTACTCCCTGTACACACGCGACTGTACAGCCAAACACAGCTCCAACGTCATCGTTAAATTTGCTGATGACAGTGGTGGGCCTAATCACAGATAATGATGAGATGGCCTACAGAGAGGAGGTTTACACTCTGACGCAGTGGTGTGAGGAAAACCACCTCTCACTCAACATCAGCAAAACCAAGGAGCTGGGAGAAGAGAGAACACACCCCCATCACCATCAACGGGACACCAGTGGAGAGAGTCAGCACTTTCAAGTTTCTTGGCTACACATTGCTGAGGATTTGACATGGACTGCTCACACAGACGCAGTGCTAAGGAAGGCACAACAACGCCTCTTCTTCCTCAGGCGTCTCAGGAGGTTTGGAATAAGCCCTCACATCCTCCGCTCGTTCTACACCTGCACTGTGGAGAGCATCCTGTGTGGCTGTATCACCACCTGGTATGTAAATAGCACCAGCAGCAATCGCAAAGGCCTACATAGGATTGTGTGAACTGCTGGACGCATAGTAGGAGGTGAGCTTCCCTCCCATCACGACATCACCAGGCGGTGCATGAGAAAAGCCAAGTGAACTATAAGCGACTCCAGCCACCCAAGCCATAGACTTTTCTCTCTGCTACCCTTAGGCAAATGGTTCTGCAGCATCCGGTCGCGCACCAGCCAACTAAAGGAAAGCTTCTTCCCTCAGACTATCAGGCTGATGAACACTTAATACCCCTCACTGCACACCATGTATATGTAGCATGCACTGCACTTTAACCAATACATGCCTAAAACAATACTGCCTACAACTATGGGTACACATATTCATTATACATATCACACGTGCTGCTGATGATGTGACAATAAAAGTGATTTGATATTCATGGCTATTTTTTCTTCATTGGCCTTTATTATAGCAACATTTATATATACCCCTACATACAAAACCCACAGATACCTTTCGGGTGCTTCGGATGCTTCTGATAAATGTTTTCAACAGCCCATAAAATGGGTGGAGCAAAGACAAACTTTACCAGTTGGAATGTGCGGAGGCTAAATCACCAAATAAAACGAAACAATTAAAATCAGTTAAAAACAGTTCAAATCTGATATTGTATATTTGCAGGAGACACATCTGTTGAAAAATGACTATTCTAAACTTAGAGGAGGCTATACACAAATATATTATTAAAACTTCAATAGCAAAAGTAGGGTCGTTGCTGTACTCATACATAAGAATGTACAGTTTGTCATTGAGTCAAATGTGCTGGATAAAAATGGCAGAAACATAATAATCCAAACTTTTAACATGTCTGTGGTCCTGGCCTATGTGTATGCTCCTAATTGGGACAATGTACACATTTTTATTGATTTATTTTCAATTTTGCCTAGTCTTGACACACACAATTTAATTTTAGGAGGCGAACCTCCTGAATTT